TGGTAAGCATTTTTCTTTTTCATTGATGCCATTGATGTCTTTCTTGGCAGAATTGTAGAAACATGCTTATATGTTCTTGCATTCTCAACACCAGCTGCATTCATCTAAGTGGTAAAGGGGTTAACACTCTTAGTTAAATTTTGGCTCTCTTTCTCTGAAGACAGAGGTCATTTATATTCCCTTCCTGTTTCTAGGAGTCTGTTACCTGATGTTGTTCAGTAGTACTGATGTACTCAAGAATTCAGTCTCTTGAATTGCCTGCAGTAAAATGAGATCGAATAATAATGGCCAAGTAGTACAGTTTAGTGATATATTTTGTGGCGTTTAATTTCCAACCTTAGACCTTACTTTCTGTTGTGCACTTGCACTTATATGTGTGAAACTTATAAGAGCATTGAGAGATTCATGGGAATGGCTTAATTGTCCCTCTTCCATTGCTTCAAAGTCACTCCCTAAGCATATGGAGGTTTACAAGCTAACATGGAAAGAAGCTTCACGATTGCATTTGAGCTGGTCAGATTAATCACTTTTCTGTTATGCATTGATGACAGGAATTGTCCTTGTGGCCATCAATCCATATGAGGATCTGGCAATCTACGATACTGACACCATCATGGCCTATCGGGGTCAAGACATGGCCAATCTTGATCCCCACATTTTTGCTGTGTCTGAGGCAGCTTTCACACAGATGGAACGGTAGGTCATTGGTGTCTTGCAATGAGGAATTCTTTTCTTTATGGAAAAATGTTGGATGTTGTTTGTTACCCCTTACCTCAGGGAGAATGTGGACCAGTCTATCATTGTATCTGGAGAATCAGGAGCTGGGAAAACAGTGTCAGCAAAATATGCCATGAGGTTCTTTGCAACCGTCAGTGGGTCATCAGATGAGACACAGATCGAGCAGAAAGTCTTGGCTTCCAATCCCATCATGGAAGTATGTCCTTCAGGCAATTTGTTACATGGTTTTGAAAGTTATTGTGCATTAATGAGGGGTGATCAGCAACTTGGTTTTGAATTTATTATGAAGCCTCAAATTGACTTTTTATACTGATAACATTTTTATGGATCATTTCCTTTCTTAGATACTTTTTTT